GATATTCATATATTCGTGTTCGCAGACTGTAAAAACAATCGATTTCAATAGAAATTAATTGGGCAGAACAGGAATATATGAATATCTGCCCCCCCCCCCAATTATCGATCTTCCGGCGTCCCTGCGGGTTGTCTTACAGTAGGCCTGTTTCAAACGTCGCGCTTCTCATGTGCCGAACGCATTAGAAACAATAGATAAGGAGGCATTTTAGCTGATTATCTATTGTGGGATCTTACTTATTGGTACAAATACTCAATGGTGAACTCTTTAATCTGAACGTGACCTGACGTGGTGGCAACCGCTGGCAATTTATTGGCAAAAATTATATCTACTTTAGACATTTTTTCCATTTATTTCGTAAATTTCCAAAGATAAGAATATTGTGATCACCAACTGACAATTTTTGGATCGCTTGGTATCTTCCAGTGGTTATAATATCAGGTTATATATTTGACCGCCCGATATACGAAGAGTCTCAATTTGTAGACATCGCATTCTTCTGATTGCTTATTTAAATATCAACATAATCAATTGTTACAGTGCTTGGCCTTGGTCCTTGGTATTGCTTCTACTATACAAGTTATTTATTCTCGAAATATACTGTGTTCTCGCAATTATTTTCAATATTTTGTGTCTTGACCGTTGGGATTTGTTTTGACAGGGCTAACGTTTCGTAGCAACAGTAAATTTGAATTTTGCGCGTGACTTCGTGGCTTTATAACTTTTATTATTTCAAGTTCTGGAACAGTAAACAATTCAAGGACTTTATTTGATTGTGGTGGCTTACAAGTTAATCAACTCTGCTGATGTTAAACTGTTTGCTATCTAGCGGCTAGTCTATACTATTGATTCATTTTTCTCCCACTGGCGTGGTTTTCCCTGACATTGCAGCGAAATATAATCTCAAGTATTTTCCGTATTAATTACAAATTCCCTCAAGTGTCCATCGCACTTATCGACCGGCGTCTACAAATTAATCTAATCAACAGAACATTTAAATCGTACTTTCTCCATCATGATGTTGATAGATTTGACGAAGTTTTGCTGTAGAAACCTTTACCTCTGGTTATTTCTCTATATCTATATTACCTTATGTGGTCTTTATGTCCCAAAGAATTGTTATGTCCCAAAGAATTGTTCTAACTTTGTACAACAACATGCTATTTTCTACATATGCAAGGAAATCGCAACAACCCATATCATGAGTCTAGTTAAATACGGTTGTCGACGAAAAAGGGAAATACGAAGATCATTGCCGAATTCATCAAAGGTTTTCTTTGGGTGCCGTTTACTGCTATACGCAATTCTCGCAGTTCTAGTTATTTCTATATCTGGTGATGTAGTATCTAACCCTGGACCAGCGTCAATTACTAATAGTCATCAAGCAAGTGGTTTTCTTCAATCTCGGGGTCTTAAAGTTGCACACCTCAATATCAGAAGTATCTACAATAAAATAGATTCATTAAAGCTTCTACTTAATGAAAAACCTTTTGATATTTTTACGATCTCTGAAACCTGGCTAAACTCCGATATAACTGATGGTGAAATCTCTATTCCCGGGTATACGTTTTCCAGAAATGATCGGAATGGAAGATCGGGTGGTGGAACGTTGGCAGTTGTGAGAGATGGCATCCCTTACAAAATACGGACAGACCTTCTGAGTAGCAATATCGAATCCACTGTAATTACTCGTCCAAAATGCAAAAGCCTTTTTATATTCACAATCTATAAAGCCCCTGATCAATTGTTAGAGTCACTTACTGAAGAACTTGATACTGCATTGTCCTCTATTTCGTTAGAAGCTGAAGTAATACTACTTGGTGACTTTAATGTGAACTTTTTAGCTACAAAAAATGATACTTCCCGAGCTCTTAAGCGAAAACTTCTAAGCTTTACCAGCATGTACAATCTTGAACAACTTATTGATAAACCAACGAGAATAACTGAGAACTCAAGTACATTGATTGATCTCCTATTCGCTAACAATAATCATCGAATAGTTTCCTCCGGAGTCCTACACGTAAACTTAAGTGACCATTCTCTTATTTACTGTGTTGTTAAAGCGGGTGTACGTAGAGCACCAGGAAGAGTCATAGAATACAGATCCTACAAGACTTATTCAAAGCCATCTTTCCTCGCCGATCTTGTGCATGTTAATTTCGACCTTATTGACGAAGAACAAGACATTAATGTCGCTGTAAGTAAATGGAATGATCTGTTCACAAATGTTGCCAATCTTCATGCTCCAATTAAGAAATTGAGAACAAAAGGAATCCAAACCCCATGGCTTACTACTGATTTAAGTAACGCAATGCAAGATCGCGACTACCACCATCGCAAAGCCGTTAAGTCAAATTCGCCCTTTCATTGGATGATGTACAAGAAGATTAAATCTTACGTCAATATAAATGTTAAGAAATGCAAAGCTGAATACTACTCGAACCTGATCAATACGAATAAAGGAAACACTAGTGCTTTATGGAAAACGTTAAATGACATCTCGTCACGAAAATCTCACTGCTCGCCATCTTGTATTGAAGCTAATGGTGTTTCTCATACCGACCCAAAGTCTATAGCTGAGTCATTAAACGACCATTTCTCAAGCATAGGATCCAAATTGGCATCTCAGATAAGAAATTTGTATCCAAATCGGATTTCTATCAAGCAACCTAGTCAGTTTAGGGAAAATGAATTTGTTTTCCAGCCAATTGAAGAAAGTTATGTGTATGGTGTTCTGAACAATCTTAAAACCAACAAAGCTGTAGGACTCGACAAAATTAGCGCTAGGTTACTTAAAGATTCTTCCAGTGTTGTAACTCCCATCCTAACCAAACTTTTCAATCGTTCACTCACTTCCTCAACATTTCCATCAACCTGGAAGTCTGGCAAAGTAACAGCGCTTTTTAAATCTGGAGACCAATCCAATGCTAGCAATTACAGACCAATCACGATACTCCCAACAATCAGTAAAGTTCTCGAGAAAGCAGTTCATTCTCAAGTTTACCGCTACCTTATTGACAATAAAGTACTAACACCACGACAGTTTGGTTTCAGACCTAAACTTTCCACTGAGATTGCGCTCGCACATTTCACAGACACCATTTTGGCTAACATGGACAAAGGTTTAGTAACCGGAGCTGTTTTTCTTGACCTGGCTAAAGCCT